TTTTTTTTTTTTTTGCATATTCCTTGTTATTATTCTAATCATCACTTTTCGTCGCAAGTTCTCGCAGTTATGTTGTCTTGCATATGATTACAATAAAACAATCGACCGTGAGTCACACGATTCGTATTTTTCATGCTTTAAGGTAAAGCCTTTTTGCAAGAAACAATCTGGTCTTACGCACTAACACTTCCGTGCTAATTCCTTTTTTTCTCTCTTATTCTCTTTCTTTGTTGAATAAAAATGAGAACGCTACGACACCGATGCGCCTTTATCGCTTCTACAATCAACATTATCTGGAGTATATACATGGTAGAAAATTGGTTTGTTTGATGAAGAAATTTGTTTGATCGGATGAAGGAAACGTCTCGAAAAAGCGATAATCCATAAAGAATTTCTGATAAAAATTGAGCCGATACAGGAATTAAGCGTACGATGTTATTTGGGAATATTGTAAGCCCTTTGCAATCGCCGTACTCGATCAAAGCAAATTTATTATGTATTATATGTTACATATGTACATATAAATAAATATGCAGATATCAATAAACAACAGATCATCTGGAAGTAAATATATTTTAGATTAAAGAGTAACAGACATTTACAATACTTTTCGATTACAGAATCATAAATGTACAAGCATAATAAAAGCGTATCGCCATCATGGCGGCATGAAAGATTTTGGACAACTTTATTATGCCGCCACAGCGTCGACATTCGAATGCAAAATAATAATAATTATTGTTATTACGCACTAGACATAATAATAATAATTTATTAAATATTATACAGAGCGATCCGTTTAATTTGGTGAATTAAAATATATATATGTCCTTTTTTTATTATTACCAACGGAACCAATGAAATGATGCGGAAATAAAGTCGCTCAAAATAGAAAGCTTTTTTTCACGAAATTTCAAGATTACCGGTATTTTCCTTTTTTTTTCTTTTTTCTTTTTTTTTTAATACAACGATATACTCTTTTATGAAGAATAAAAAATTATTAGTAAAGAATTATTTGAATATAGTTTTATTAAAAAACTCGTTCAATATAAAAACTTACGAAAAGTATACATAGCCTCAAAGAATCTTTAACCGTTTTCACAAATCATTAGAATATGTTTATCGTATATAAAATTTATATCAATATAGCACCCAGTGGAGAATTACTATAACACAGGAATAATATGTTTTCACGTAATTATTTCACATAATTAATTTCCATTAATCTCAGTTCTAACTTAATTCAAAAATTCATTGATTGGTTGTTGTTAATGATTAAAATTTCTTTTCCTTTTATATATCACATGACAAAAAAGTAGAATAAAAAACACAAAGAGATGTATCACCTCAAATATTTTCTATAATCTAACAATTTGTGGTTTCGAAACCATTACATACATGATAAATTATCAATCAAATTACATATTTTATCAATATAATAACGGATAATAAACAAACCTAACATTTTTTTATGTACATTATTACTAATACCATGGATATTAATAAAGATAATTAATCAAAACAAATCTTTTCTACAACTCCAGGAACTTAGTTCTATTCCATTATCGATATTTTGATTATTCACAGTAAAATTTTTTTACATCAACATTCATAGCAGTGTCAGAAAAAGGTTTTCTCATGAATAGGATTCTTTTAAAATATTTAGATGTGAATATTACCTGATTATATAAAACGAAAACAGATGGTTAAAATCGACCTTAAACTATGTAGTGCTTTCAAGCTCCTTGTGTAAAAAAGTTTCGATATCCACTCGACATATAGGACAGCGTTTATTAGTACATAACCATTGATCGACACAGTCTATGTGAAATAAATGCATGCATGGAAGCCTCCTATATAAAAACATTAGAAAAATATAATTTGTGTAAAAATAATTGCTGAAAATAATTTGTATTGTACGTGAAAATTGACTTGTACCTGACACTTTCACAGTCTTCGAATTCCGATAAACATATAGTACACTTTTCAATAGCGTCTTCACTATTTTCAACTTTTTTTTCCTATAAAACGATAAAATATTGCGAATAAATAAACATATATATAAATAATAAATAAACATATATATAAATTTTCATGTAGCTTACCCGTTTGTACTTATGACGGAATGTGTGACTTTCTATCGACTCCTGCGTAGCTCCGCAACTAATAGCGGCCATACGTCGTAAATCAACAAGACGCATATAATTCTCAAGTTGCGCCGACATTTGACGCGCTGGATGCAACAAACCCAAAGATGAAAACGGCATCATATCGTGAGCATCAGAGCCTTGCTGCATAAAACACATATGCATTATATAACTATAATAAAAATTCAAAGTACTGTATTCAAGAACATACCAAATGAAGATGTTGCAACCAATTGATATGAATATGGTGTCTATGTTGTGGACCAGGTGGTCTTCGATGAGAACCATAATGATGATACATATGATGTACGTAAGGATGAACTGGCATTGAAGGTAGCATAACTGGAGGTGGTGTTGGTTCCATTTCTACACCACTCAAAGAATTTTCCTAAACATTAAGAAACGAAAAGAAGATAAATTATAAATCCATAGTAAAACTAAAATAATATAATGTAACTCTTAAATGCATTGAATTACCATCACAGACTGAGCGGGACAAGGCGGACTAACACTCGGTGGCCTCCTAGCCTCTGGATGACTATAAACAGTAGGCTGTTGTGGTGGTGGTAAAATTGGAGATGGGAAATAATTTTCCGCAAATATCATGTTTTCTGAACCGTTACAACGATTACTTGCAGGATTAACATTTCCGTTATTACATGTATGTTGGTTTGCTTGATGAACATGTGGATTGCACGACGTTGTACTATTAAATATAAAAATTATTGCATAATGTAAAACTTCGAATATTTATTGCAATACTAACGTGTGATGTGTTGAAAATCTTGGATGAAGACTCCGCCTATGTACTTCTTGTACACGTTGTTGCATCCTCCATAGCCTTTCTTGTATTGGATGCATACGTGATCTTAACATTCCAGTAGAAGCATCTATAAAAAAGAAACAAATTAATAACAAAATAATATATCAAAAATATTGTTAATATCTGTCTTTATTTTTTTATCACATTCTTACCTGGTAATTGGCTATATCTTACAGGTATAACAGGAATTGGTATTCTATAATTATGATGCATACATCGACCATGATACAAATGGTCATGCATGCAATAAGTGTTGTTTCCACTACAAAAAAAAAAATTATTAAAATCAGCAATAAAATTATTGCCATTTAATATAATATAATTATCATTATAATTTAATATATAATTCTTACATATTAAATGATTTATTACTCATGTACTCACCTATGTACATAATCTGTTGTACCCGGTGTTACTACAGAAGTTGTTGGAGTAGGTGGAGTATGTTCTTCATCTGACTCCACAGTTAAATCAACTACAGTTACTGGACGATTACGTTCCTCATTATTTTGTGCAGAATTTTGTTGCTGAAATATAACAAAATATTCTACATTTTAAATTCTTAAGATAAATTCTATTTTTAAACAATTCTATTTTTTAACAATTCAATTTTTAAACAATTCAATATAATATTACTATTTTACCTTATTATTATGATTTACTGAAACAAGAACTTCAACTGATCCATCTTCATCGTCACTACTAGTAGCATCATCACTACTTGAGGACCAATCTAATTGTAGATCAGGTGCTGATGGTGTATCGTCATTTTCTATCCAATACGAACAAAGTTAAATTATATAGACTATTAATTACTATTAATTACTTTCTATTTATGTATTATTCATGTGAAAAAAAAAATCATACTTGTTGCACGTATAGAATTTTGTTGAGAATGAATTGCATTTGGCATAACTGAGGGATATAAAGTATTGACTTCATTGGCACTGTCATTTTCCATATTCTGCATAACTCTGTTTAAAACATTTTCATTATTATTTTCATTATTAATTATTAATTTAATTGTATTGAAAATAAAAATATCACAAATAAATTCAAAAATTAATTCTGAATTTATACTTGTTAGAAGTTCCATCTGACAATCTAGATGGTCCAGCTACACTGAAACTATCAGAATGCTGATCATTGAATGATTTGCGTTCTTCGCTTTTTCTACTTTTATGTTTTACTGGATGATCACATTCATGTAAAATTCCTGCTGCTGTTTCAGACCCACGTAAATAAGTTCCAAAAACAAAATTACTATTTGATGCAGCATGATGAGATGGATTTACATAAGGATTAATAGGTACCACATCCAAATCTTCTACATCACTTTCTGCAAATAAGTGATCATATTCCATTTCGTTGGCTGGAATGAAAAAATTAAATATTAAAATTTTTCACTATATATATTTAGTATCATTCAAAATTAATTAAATTATTTCATTCAAAATTAATTAAATTATTTCATTCAAAAAATTATTGCATTTGACACCAAAAGCATAAAAGAAAAATTAATATATATCTTTTATCATTGTTTCATCTTTACCTGAATTAAATCTTGGTTGTGGAGAGGGATCAACTGTAGATGTAAATGCTGTATCAAATATATCTGCTAAAGAAGTAGAATTTGCTTCCATAGAGGAAGTTATAGATTCCGGATGATACTGATAATTATTTTGTTCGTCTGCTTTAGTTTTACACCAAACATTTTCAGAACTTGTACTTTCTTCCATCCTGCTTGATAAATTTGTTTATTTAAGTTAATACAAAATACCACTGGAAAATTTAAAATAATTTGTAGATATATGCATCACTGTCATACGTTTGTAACATAAATATTTTGAATCATATTTCTTTCTGTTGTATGATTAAATTACAATTAAAAGGCAATAAATACAATTTTAATTATGAATGTAAATAATAATAAAATCAAATAAAATTCTACATAACTGAGAAAAAATGTGTATTCCAATAAAAAAAAAATATATACATATTGTTTCATTTTTCAATGACAGACCTTTCATTTACTCTCACAAGATGCATTCTAAATATATAACCAATATTAACTTTTCATGATTCGATAACATTTAATACATAATAACATATAAATAGTAGGAATGTTTTGTGTTATAACATATGACCAATGTAATTGAAATAACTTTCCAAATTCAAAAAATAATTCTTTTGAGTTACGTTCGGAACTATATTCGAAACATTCGACATTTGAAATAAATTTTTTTATCCCTTTTTGTAGATGGTTGAAACGATATCCGAACGAAACACTAGAAACTGTTGATACAGTGTGTACCTTGCAATTTCTTCGATGATTTTGTAGAACGATAAAGCTCTCTTCACCACGTCATTTTTATCAGGATATTTATTTTCTATACATCACTGTCATTTATGTCGTTCTATCTATACGCATCAATATTAGCTTCGTAATCGAATCACTACGAATTTTAATAAACTGTTCGATCCATATGAAAATTTGTGTATAATTAAATTCTTATATCAGTAATAACAATAAAATCGCAGAAGGATTTATGTAGACTTTCTTTCAGTAATCTACATTTGGCAACTATGATACCATCAATCGTAACTTTCATTAACTACGCTCAATTTTTCGGTGATCTCCGTTGATTATGCAGCATGCTACCTTTCCTTTCTATGAAAGGAATAATTACGTTTGCTATCAAATACCTTAGCATAAGTATAACATTCATACATATAGTACTAATCTTTTTTGCAACAAATTTTTTACTGTGTTATTCTAACTTCAATGTTGCATACTTTTATTTAAAATACATGAATATGACCCTAGGGTAAATTTCAAAGGCAAGAATAGAGATAAAACTAATTTCCCTATATTTTTAGCAATAAAAGAGTTACGAAACTAGAGAAATTTTTCATAAATATTTCAGAAAACTTCAGAATAAAAAAAAATGACAATTATTTTTGTATCTGATGTATTGAAAACCTCGTACAAAATTTACTCGCAATCAAATTTTTGCATTGAAAATTAGCTTGAAGAAAATATCTTGCGAAAGAACAGACCAATCAGTTCGATATTCAACGCTCCTGTCATTTGACATATTCATAGTGAATCTGAAGTATTTAGATACATGCGATAAGTACACTTTGTCCGTGTATTTTCTTTCGAACTTGACCTCGCTAGTCTACTGAAGTCCTCTAATGGTGATTCTCTAATAATTCGATTTCATTCACTGACTATCTTGAAAAAAACATAAATTAAAAAATGGCTGTAGCTATCAGGACATTTTCGAAGTTTACAGGTAAGACATGAATAATCATCCAGTACTTTTCACAAAAGGAACCTTTGCATATCTCGACTATTTGTATAGTCGTAATAAAATTTCACGGTCGTGTTCGACCGTCTATTATTTTCCAAACTAAAAATACTTTTGACAAGTTTCGTTTATGTTATCATTATATAAGGAATTATACATAACTTCTATTAACATACTATATTCTTACAATATATGATATTAAATTATTTAGTTAAATTAACTTGTTTCAATTCTAACTATGTAGTTGTTAATATAAAACATTATATAATTTTTTATTAAATCTTTTGTCTATTATAAATGTATTCTATCATAGAAGCTTCATAATTTCTTTTTTTTTTTTAATTATATTTTATCCATATCATATATATTAGTTTTATTTCATATAACTGTTGAATATGATTTGCACAGTCTTCTGCATAATTTTAACATCTTAATATGTTCTGTCAGAATAAATGTCATATTAATCATTTGAACTCATTGGATGATAATACACTGAATGAACCTTGACCTAAAAGTTAAGAAATTTGATACTGTCCCTATAAATAACATCTGCTTGCAAACAATAGTTAAAACAATGCTTTAAAATCTCTTTATAAAATAATATAATGTTATGACATTTATTGCAACATATATATATTAAGAAACAAAAAAATTATTGATACTTGTATCTAAAAAAAATTGTTTTTTGAGTGAAAAAAATATTTTTTTTTCATATTGCAGCAAATTGCGGAAATTTATTACGAACACAAATAAGGTTTAATTATGTAGATACTAGGAAAAATTTAAAAATTGATTCCAATACCAAAGTTATATGTCAGGGTTTCACTGGTAAACAAGGGACATTTCATTGTCAACAAGCCATTGAATATGGTACTAAAATAGTAGGTGGTGTCAATCCTAAAAAGGCTGGTACAGAACATCTTGGGAAACCAGTTTTTAAAACTGTGAAAGAGGTAGATAAACAAATTTTCTTATATATTTTATATATTTATACATATGTTAACTGAATTTTAGGCAAAGGAAGCTACGGGTGCTTCTGCAACTGTTATTTATGTTCCTCCTCCTGCTGCAGCTGCAGCTATTTTGGAGGCAATAGATGCTGAAATACCATTAATTGTATGTATTACAGAAGGTATTCCACAACATGATATGGTGAAAGTTAAAAGACGACTTTTGGAGCAAAACAAATCTCGTTTAATTGGTCCAAATTGTCCAGGAATAATAGCTCCAGAGCAGGTGCAAATATTTAATATTTATCAATGTAATTAAAATTTGTACTAATGTATTTTATAACAGATATGTATTTATAGTGCAAAATAGGTATTATGCCAGGACATATACATCAGAAAGGAAAAATTGGTATTGTGTCAAGATCAGGAACATTAACATACGAGGCTGTGAACCAAACAACCCTTGTAAGCGAATGATAAATAGACATTTCATTCACCATAATAAATGTTTTTCTTTAATTTTATAAAAAAAGTGTAACAAATTCTTTTTTTAAGGCTGGTCTTGGGCAAACACTCTGTGTTGGTATTGGTGGTGATCCATTTAATGGAACAGATTTTATTGACTGTTTGGATGTCTTCCTTAGAGATCCAGATTGTGATGGTATTATAATGATTGGTGAAATTGGTGGTAGTGCAGAAGAATCAGCAGCGGAATATCTCATTCAGCATAATACTGTTGGTTGCTCTTCTAAGTTATTGGTATTCAAATCCCCATCCTATCCTAACCCAATTATTTTTTCCAGAAATTCTTTTATGTTCCAAAAGTCATGCCACATCCTTGAGTGTAATTTATTTTTAGTAATTTCACGTACAAATATAATATATGTTGTTTGTAATAATCACAGGGAAGTAAAGCTAAGCCAGTAGTATCATTTATTGCTGGTATTACGGCTCCACCTGGCCGAAGAATGGGCCATGCTGGGGCTATCATATCAGGAGGAAAAGGAGGCGCGCAAGATAAAATTAATGCCCTCGAAAAGGTATCGATAAATTTGCTTGATAATTATATGATAAATATAACTATCGTTTTAATAAATAATATCGTAATAAATATCATTGTATTTTATCTAGGCTGGTGTAATAGTTTCAAGGAGTCCTGCGCAAATGGGAAATGAACTTTTAAAAGAAATGACACGTCTTGGCTTGGTCTGTAATTAAAGCACACGTCACTATAAATATACATATGTAGTTTGCCTCATATGGATGTATCTTCATACAATAAATTGAAAGTATAAACAATGCTAGGATCATCTAAGAAAAAAAAAAAATGATATAACGCATTGAAAATGTGCAAATTTATTAAATCAATGACTTAAAACAATGTTCATCGATATTGTGAGATTGCTCTATTACTTTATTCCTAAAGAGAAAACTTACAAAGAAAAATATGAATACTCTGTTGGAAAACTAAATTTATTTTAATATTGTACAGTATTTAGGAAATATTTTTACCGATATAGCTTTTATTTCAACAATTAGTAATTATCCAAAGATGCTATAAAATGTATCTAACAATAACTGCCATTATTCTTCGTTACCATTTTTCTTAATAAGAAATTAATTAATAAATTTTTCTATGCTGCTACATCATAATTTTAAGGAACAGTTAATTCTTATTATATTGTTGTAAATTAAATTATTAAAGCTATATCTGTTGTAATAAATAATTAAAGCTGTTATATATCCATATTGTAAAACATTAAAAATCTAAATATATATTAAACAAAATATCAATATTAATCTTTTAAATTCTTTGTTTGTTGTAAATAAAAAAGTAAAAAAAGTTATTTCTTGAATATCTTTCAAACTTCTCTTTATGATGAAAATCCCATTATTTGATCTATAAGCTTAGCAATTTGTTTACTCCTTTCATTAACGAAAGGTTTTAATTCAGCAAAATTCATAGTTTGGATAATATTTAATAAAGTTTCACAAGTGCAATAGTATAAATATTTATCCTTATAAAGTTGTTCAGCTAATTCTAATTGATGATTATCCATCAAACTTTGATTTGCAACTACAATTAAATTTTTCTTACATTCTAAAGCATCTAAAATACTTCCTGCTCCTGCGTGACTTATGATAAGATCAGCATTTTGTACATAGGGAAGTATATTTGCACTTATATTGAAATATTCTATATTAACAAAACCATAACGTAAGCTGCAATCTGGTACAAACGATGTTTTGCCAATTTGTAAAATGATTTCATAATATCCTTTTGACGATAATGCCTAAAATACAAATGAAAAAATTACTTTTTTGTCTTACATTAAATATATTACATTAAATTTTTATAACATTTCCGTTAGAAACTTATATTTTCATAGTCTTTTACCTCTAAAATTTCACGACTAAGTATTGTCGCGATTAATTCATCAAATTTGGTAGTGCCAACAGTAACAAATATTGTTTTTTTCGGTTGTATCATTGTAATGTTTGAAAAACATTAAAGATCTTGGTATTAATAAAAAACATCACTTTGTTATTTGTTAAATTTTGAATTCGTTTTTTTTAATATTCGATAAAAGTATCTAATATTATTAAATAATAAACAATATTGTTAAATTGTGATCTGTTCAATTTATACGTGTAAAGTAGAACTACACTACTGTAGTCTAAAGTAGAACTACTACTTGTAGAACTGAAACTAAAGCACTATGACGTCAAAGTTCCATGTGTCAAACATTTGTAATACTACCAATCCAATTTGTAATACTACCGCGAATTTTAATAAAACATGCCAGTCAAAATAAAAAATAATATTCTAATATACGAAGGTTGTAATTATTTGAGATATCGCTTATTATTATCAACGTTGTCAGGTAAACCTGTACGAATTATAAATATCAGAGTTAAAGATGATGATCCAGGACTTAAAGGTTAGTTTTTTCAAAACTATTAAAATATAAAAATTATCTATTTTTCAAAATTATTAAAATATAAAAATATGTTACAATTTATATGCTTATTGTGTTTAGAATACGAAATCAGTTTTATTCGTTTATTGGATAAAATAACAAATGGATCGCGAATAGAATTAAATGAAACAGGAACAAATTTATATTATAATCCTGGATTATTATACGGTGGTGAATTAGAGCACGATTGTAGCGTACAACGAGGTATTGGCTATTATTTGGAAGGAATTATGATATTAGCTCCATTTTGTAAAAAAGCTGTGGATATAAAACTCAAAGGAGTCACTAATAATACAATAGGTAAGTAAAGCTGTAAACTTTAATTGTTATATTATAATTGCAAGAAACTAAGAAATTGTTTACATATATGTAATTGTATTTCAGATCCATCTGTAGACAGAATGAAGACATGTGCTGTGCCTATATTGAAAAAATTTCTGTCAGGTGATAATGAAGTTATCTTTACTATTAATAAAAGAGGAGCTGTGCCTTTAGGTGGTGGAGAAATTAAATTTAAATGTCCTCCTAGTCGTAACCTTAGAAGTGTTCAAGTTAGTAGAAAGTATAAATCTCTTTATTTAGGTATTTACACCTTAAAAATAAAAAAAATATATTTGTAGCTTCAAAATAGTGGAATGGTTAAAAGAATAAGAGGTACTGCATGTAGTTTACGTGTTTCTCCTGCTATTGCTAATCGAATTGTGGAGTCTGCTAAAAGTGTATTATTAAAATTCTTACCAGATGTTTATATTTATACAGACCATTGTAAAGGTGCATCTAGTGGAAAATCACCAGGTACATATTTAATAGCTACTTTATGTTTCTTGAGTACATTAAATATTACAAATGTTTAAAAATATGACAGGTTTTGGAGTAAGTTTATCAGCCGAAACAACTGCTGATGTTATTTTCGGTGGAGAAACATTTTCACCTTTAATGACAACAAATTCTTTACCTTGCGTACCAGAAGATATTGGTAGAGAAGCAGCTATGAGATTAATTGGTGAAATTTATAGGTAAAATAAATATGAATATGCATCAAATAATGAAAGTATTAAATAAATATGTATGATTTTAGAAATGGTTGTGTAGATTCATCTTTTCAAGCTATGACAGCAATGTTTATGGCATTAGGTAAAAAAGATGTTTCTAAAGTTGTAACAGGTCCTTTAACACCAGCGATGTAAGTAGTCGTTTTATACAGATACGTATTTCAAAACGATAAAACTGATGTATAATATTATTTTCATAGGATACAATTTTTACGCGACTTAAAAGATTTTTTTGGAATTGTATTTAAACTTGAACCATATAAAGAAGAAGATGAAATTTTAGAACAAGTCATCTTAACTTGTGTGGGTGTAGGATATACTAACATAAATAAACGAACATTATAAAACGAACATTATTGCATTTATTTTGTTTTAAAAAATATATATTGTACATTAAAAAATATCAAGTATTCTACAGTACAAATGTTTGTAAATGAATTGGTTTAGAAGGCCAAGAATGGAAAGAATCTGATTTTAAAGTATTCCATAAGCTTTGATAATTTTTTGACCACATTTTGCAATCTAAATAGGTTATTTTTTTAGGATGTCTTATATTGCAATCAGAATGTTGATATTTATCACACGTTCGTAGAAACGTTTCAAAAAGGGCACGTCTCGTTATGAGCAAATTATTACCTTTCTTTTTTTTTGTAGCTCCTTGTTTTCTACCCTCAACTGCTACCTCAGTATTACTGCAAACGATCAATTATTAAAATTATCTTATTCAAAATTATTAAAAATAATAAAAATGTAAGTATTAAAAATTACCAATTTCTTACAGCACACCATATTATACTCGATGGACATGGATATTTCCTCTCGGAATTTTTTTGTTGATTAAAAGGAAGTTTACTTTGTATAATTTTTAGTTTACACATTTTTTCATTGAATCGTTTGTACAATCCACGTTCCATGGCTTCTAGGGAAAAAGGACAATTCCCTCCAATTATAATAGTTTCTATTTTTATTGGCGGTATTAATATTGATAAAAGCGATCCTTGTACTCCAAGTAAATTCCATCTAAAATCAGTATATAACTTAATTATGATATTCTATAAAAATACTATGAAAATAAATTGTAGTATTACTTTGCTATTTTATCTGAACAAGATAAGCTAAGAGTAGGATTTCCTCTTCCTGGTTTAGTACGTAGTGGTCCAACCACATGGTAGTTTATTCCGGGTAAATGAGGATCTTGATATTTTTCAGATTTAACACATTTTGCACCGGTTCTATATATATCTTTAATTAATTGTTTTTCTTTTCTATTATTATTTGATTCTACTGTCTCTGTTCCGTTATTATAATCACATTTTCTAATTTTCGTTGGAGGTATATCATCTTCATACAATTCTTTTTTCAAAAATATAGAACAATCTCCACAGGGAGTTTGACTCGTAAATAAATGGAACGATATTCCATCATGTAGTTTAATTTTTTTCTTATCATTTATTGTAAAAACATCACTTTTAAAATCACTGAGTAAGAAATCGATTTGCTCATATAAGTATCTTAGAAACGCACGTCTGACAAGAACTTCTGCATGAGAATCATTTAATCTACAACCTTCTTCGTATATTTTTGTATTTATTAAATCTAATTTTCCTAAGCATTTTGTTCCTGTAGCAAGGGCTACTAAATTCAGTGAATTGTCTTTTTTTTTTAATATCACACCTGATAACACAGTCCATTCTTTCTCTAATGGTTTACCATTCTTACTAAGCTTATTATATTTTTCTAAACAAAGTTGTGCAATTTGATCTGCAAAATCTTCCATATTTTTTTTTGTTTTTTATATTTAAACTTAATAATTAATTTTATATTTAAATTTAATTAATATACATTGGAAGGGTCCCAAGCATATTTATGCTGAGGAAGGCAAGATAAAGCTTTCATACTCTCTTCATCAATTACAAAATTTAGCTGTATATTATCTCTTATATGTTCTTTCTTTATAGCTTTGGGAATAATGCCTGTAATAATATCATTAAATGATATATAGTAGAAATAATCATTTTGAAAAGATAAATTATTTACCAATCCCCTGTTGCAAAGCCCAATTTAATAGTAATCGCGCTGGTGATACATTAAGTTGAGAAGCTATTTTTACAACAACCGGATCCTTTAAAAGATTAGTACTGCTACTAGTTCCTAAAGAAGAATATGCTTGTACATGAATTCCTTTCTCGTTGCAATAACTAATTAATTCTTCTTGACGATAATGTGGATGCAACTCGACCTGTAAAACATATTTTAATTTCTTAATTAATATAAATTAAAATACAAATTAAAATCAGATTTATTACTTATTTGGTATAATTACTTGATTAACAGCTGGTGGTGTATCTTTACAATTTTGTAATAATTCTTCTAAATGTTTGATTGTATAATTAGACACTCCTATAGATTTTATGAGCCCTTGCTTTTTCAATTCTATTAACTTATCCCAAGTCTTTGCCCTTAAACTTGGATTGCTCGTTGAACTTTCTGGAGTACGAGATACACCTGGCCAATGAATTAAGTATAAATCAATGTATGTAGTGTTAAGCGCTTTAAGTGATCTTTGCACAGACTGTTCTATTCCTTTTGGATCTCCATGATCACTTGGTGCTGTAAACATATGATTTTAATATATTTATTGTTGTTTAAATGTAATATACTTTATATTACTTAAAATCATTACTGATACATACAAAGCTTAGTTGTAATAAATATATCACTCCTTTGAAGATTATACTTTGGTAGTAAATTTTTTAGGGCATAGCCTATATCTTCTTCATTTCGATATACCACAGCTGTATCTAATGTAATAACGATAAAATTTTTAAATGATAGATTTTCGAAAATATATTTACGATGAGATAAACAAATAATATCAAGAACTTCATTATACACATACCAATGGAACGAAAACCAACTTTTAAACTTTCATCTACCACTTCATATATTACATCTCTTCCTTGAATTTTATATGTTCCAACTAAAATGAAAATAATTTAATATTTCATGGTAGGTAATTATCGTATTTTAATAAACTTACATCCAACAAAAGGCATAACATAGCCACTCGAAAGATGAATATTTTTTGCTGCATTGTTCATAATATTATATTTAATTTATCTCTTAATTTCTTAATTTCTTAATCTCTATTTGTATTTATATGTTGTAATTGCACATATAGTATTATTATTATTATTATTATTTTATAATGCCATCTTTGATATAAAGATATTAATCAAAAGAAAATTAGCTTTGGTTCAGTTATTTCGTTTTAATATATGTACTTTGTTATTCTCTAATCGAATAGTACTACTTACATTTATTGTTATTAAATTTTATTATTAGAGAATTTATCTTATCATAATTATGTCACAAAGAATGTTATATTTGTCAATTAAATTTCGCGACTGTAAGAGACGTTTATCAATATCGTAATATAAAAATTACAAAAAATAACAATTGATAGACTGATTAAGCAAGTTTATACGCTCCAATATCACGCTCTATTATACACGTACTTCGTGGCAGAATGTCTCCATCTGATTTTGACAGTTGACATCTAAGATTTTTCTTCGATTTAATGTTTGTAAGATTTTGTAAATTGTATAAATAAATGTACATATAGACTTTGGAGTGAGAATAACAATAGTCAGGAGTGGAATGGCCGAAGAAAATGGGAGTTCGCAGCGAAAAGGTGAAACCAGCCAAGAGGTTACGGAGGAAATGGAGGCCGATATAAGCCGCTATTTTGAAAACGCATCACGCACAATTTTCGATGAGATTGTTTCACCTAGGAAGGAAGATTTCTTCGACGTGCAGAGAGGCTCTGGCAGCCGAGTCCCTGATTTCGAATTGCTCGCGGATCAGTCGAGTGAATTCTTAAAAGGTAGTTCATTACTCGGTAACGAACTACTCGATCACAGCAGCACGAACGATGTACACAGGGATGTATGGATACCTTCTGAACAGACGAGAAAAATCTTACGAAGCGTGGCCACGTCCACCGCTGGAACTACGTTTCTCGACAGAGAGAACTTGACAATGCCAGGACTTGCAGTTCAAGGCGATATGCCCAATTTGATAAAAAGTAGTGTCGCAAGGTTTCTAGGCGAAGATGAAAGTGCACAAAGGCACGTGCTCACAGCTTCTGATGTGACTCAGGATGAACGCGGATTGAGAATGTTGATACAAGCTGGTTGTTACAAGGCAGCAATAAATCTGTCCGGCAGGTTATTGGCCGTGTATGGTCAAGGGTATGGCAAGATAAATCAATCTAGTAAACACTCGCCACATTCTCTGCAACTATGGTACACCAGGCTGGCTCTTCTGACCAAGCTCAGACAAATCGACATCTTAGAGAACGAGTCGAAACCATTTGATAATCTAGACAAACCAGACATGTATTTTACGTTTTACCCAGAGTTGTATGGCACCAGGCCGGGTTCTATGGCTTCGTTTTCCTTTAGACTTCTTCTGGCTGAGATTCCAATGTATTGTGGCAAGCCTAAACAGGCATTGGATAATCTTTACAAAGTTCTGGCGACTACGAACCAAATTATAGCTAACTTTAGTGCTGGGTTCAATGGAGACGGTTCTCGCGTTAAGGTAAACCCTGCAGAACAAGAGGATGTTATAAGGTTGTGGAAAGGCAGAAGATCCAGGGTCCTTATATCTATTGTTAATTGCGCTGTCAGCATGAAGAATTATGTATTAGGTATTGATATCTTAGAGAGACTTTGTGAGTCTGCAAATTGGACACCAGAGCAAATGGATGCACTGAGGGCCAGCATAGGTAGACTACATTTGTTTTTGGGAGATGTCATGGCAGCAGAAAAATTCCTGATTGATATTCATAAGAAAGACAGTGGTCCTACTGTTCGAGAGTTAATAGACAGAGGATTAATGGCAGTGGCTCACAATTCTTTCCAAGAAGCGTACAAGTGTTTTCAAGCGGCAGAGGCATTAGATCCATCGAACATAGCATTAATTAACAATATGGCTGTTTGTCTTTTGTATACAGGCCAATTGAAAACGGCGGTGCATTTATATGAAAATATGATAACAAGAAATCCTGTGAAAAGTTTACAGGAGCCAATACTGTTGAACATATGCACCTCGTACGAATTGCATACAACTCATTGTAAACAACCGAAGTTACATTTATTGAGTCAATTGAACAGATATAAAGGAGATGCTGTAGACATACAGTGCCTGAAACTCCCTTTAAACTGAGCTCATTTCTCTCGTCCATGTACAGTATATGATAAGCCGAAAATGAAATTTTAAACCTGTTATTTAATTATGAATATAGTTGCGCCGAACAATGTATAAATTTTAACAATAAAAATCAATTATGATCATGTTCTTAAAAATTTCGTGTTCTTTCGCGTGAAATGATCTTGCATCTATAGAATAATATTAATTTCCTGTAAAAAAACCATTCGAAACTTGTATCAAAATTGAACGTGAACATAGACGAAAGCATCAGCTTTGAAGTATATTCATGTGAAATGGAAATTAATTGCCTGGAGACATGAAATTTATTATATTTTTATGATTTCAATATAGTCTTTCGATCTGTTGAGCAGAATTTTCAAATCTTTATATATGCAGTTTTTTCGTTAAATGGAATATGAGAAGAAAGTTGATCAGCTAATTTTGAAAATACAGTTACAAAAGTTTACAAATTATTCTCCGAAATTAGTATTTTTTGCAAATGAAAATTCGATCAATTTATGGACATTGAAACGCTAGCGGCGCGTAGCGGTGAAATGGTGGAACTAAAATCTGTTGTTGTCCTTGTCGCACACTAGTGCTATTCTTGTCTACGAATGGTGCTGCCATCTGAGCATCTCTCAGTTGCGTTGCGAACTAAAAGCGTAAAATGGTACAATCCAATAGATGGCAGCACTTTTTGCTCGCAGACAAGGAGCGCAATACCGCGTGACAAGGACAGATATACATTGCGCGAAAAACAAAGAGATCAATAGCGTGTGACAAGGATAACGATCGAATTTTCACTTGCAAAAAAAAAGACTAATTTCGGGGATAAGTTTCTAAACTTTTATAATTGTATCTTCAAAATTAGACCCTCAGATTCTTTTCTATATTATAATTAACTTAATATGCGTAAAATTTATAAAATTTATAAATTTCACTCAATGATCGAAACATGCACTCGTTCGAATAATCGTCAATTGCTTAGATTAGATTTTATAAAATTAAATTAACAGACGATTGAAATTAATCGAAAAAAAAAATATTTAGATATCTTCCAGAAATAAAATAAATCATGGTTGCGTGAATACGCTCCTATATTGATAGCTTGATCTTACAAGTTTTCGGGTCCAAATATATCGAGGATATAAAGGATACAAATTAGGGAATGTAACACCGACGTCAAAGTAAAATAGCCTTTATTACATCGTGAAACGAGGACAATTTAATGAACGTTCAACAATTGCTAGAATTCTCTCTCTCTCTTTCTTCCTTTCTTTCTCACTTACTTTCTCTCCCTCTCGTTCGTCCTTTCGCACACACACACATTCTTCCTTCTCATTCTCTCCCTCCATTCGCATCATTCGGCTTCAACTCGGTTTACACAATTAACCTCGCACCTCTTTTCTTCTTTTCGTTTCTTCGCATTTGTTACTTGTTCTTTCCCATCGACGTCTAGCCATCTGACATATAATCTCGCGTGCTCGTAATGTTCTTCGAGAATAATCCATTACAGGACACACACACATCGTGATCATGTCAAACATATAACTTCGCCCGATCTATATCCGCGCGATTAATATCCTCGTATCCTGTCCCTTTCTGCCCGCCCATAATTTCGCCACGACCTCTAAGATCGTCGACGAACCCTTAACATTACACCCTTTTTCTCTCCCCGCTCTCTCTTTCCTTTTCGTCGCTTGCCCATCGCTTTCCTCTATTTAGTAGGCGGTACATCAATAGCATACACCATTCAGATCGATTCCAAAACTGCACTCTCTCTCTCTCTCCCTGCAGAAAAAAGGCACGAACTGGCGGAAAAGTCGGCCTAACTGTATAATATTTTCATTTATTTTATTATGGATGGAACTTCGTCACAATACATTATTATCTTTTTTTTTTTTTTTTTTTTTTTTCTTAATTTCTTTTTCTCTGCTGCTTCTTTCCGCAGTGTGTAACAGGTTCGGCTCCCGTTTTCAACCGAATTCATCGATTCGTGCTTCGAAAGTTCGCCGCGTAGTGCAACGCAGTGTTCGACCCTCTGAGAAAGGATTCCTCTCGACATCCTTCCTCATCTATTATACTTTTCCGTCTTTTTTTCTTTTTTAACCCTTCCCATTCTCCGTCTCCTATTTTCCCTATATTTTGTCTCTATACCTCGAATGCCCATTATCAACGATCGAACTTCGAAAAGGAGATCGTTTCGGTTAGAACGTACCTTTAATTACAAGAATATATATGTCCCTTCTCCAAAAAGTGATCGTTACTCGGAAATTCACTTCCAATTAAATTCCACGCTTTCCCACCTCGGTGTTTATATATATATATATTGCAACGTCAGATGATTGAAAACGAAACCGGTG